AACGTATTTGGGTTAAAAAAGAAAACTGTGTATCAATCTTGTTGGCAAACATCATAAACTGACTATATATCGGCTTTTACTTAACTGCTAAATATAAAGTACAATTAAAGTACTAAATTTAAAGTATCATATAAATCGGTTACAGACCATTTGAAATTCTAATACGTAACATGTAGAACATACTATATAGACACAGATAGTGATATTATCCATTTAAAAGTCAGGTGATGCCTCAAGGATACAACGTGCCTTGTTTTAAAGTGAGAGTTACCATCAATCAAGTGAATAATCTCTGTTTCTTGAGTAGAATGGAATTTTTGTTTTTAGTATACAATGCCATGTTTTTTCAATATAGAACAAGATAGTTTGAAATTATTGCAGATATCGATTTGATTTAAACACATTAAGAGTCTTCCAGTAAACGTGTTGTCTTAAACTTTGATTGTGTTTGTGTTGAAATAAAGACTGTTTTACTGTGCATACCATGTGTACAGTCTCATTCATTGTTTCCAAATCAGTCAAGGCTATGCAAATTCATATTTTGTTTCACATTGCATTTTCTATCAAAACTTCTTGTTATTCTGTGGCTCGTACCCAATTACTGTAAAGAAAACCAGTAAACTTGGAAATACCACAGAGTAGGAAGGAAGGAGAATATATTTTTTTGCAGAGTGTTTGTTTTTCTCATGGTGAATGTATTTGCCTGTGCTCTTCTAAACTCTTTTGAATTTGAGGAAATTACATTTTATATGAGTTGAATGAGTTATGACAAGGAGGGGAGTTAGGTACTGAGGAGCATCATTGTCAGAGGAAGTTATTTGGCCTATGAGAAACCCTTTTTTTCGACAGTGGACTTTCACCAACGCTTAGAAGGTCCACGACATCTCTCTCATTGGGGTACAGCCCTGGAAAGGATAACTGTCAAAATCGGGTACACCCAGAATGGTCGACTTGGTTCTCCTCTAAGATTTATCATCAGTGCACAGAAGACGTAGATGACTGAGAATTGTCAGGATGATGCTCTGTCTGGGGAGTACGAGATTAAATGATGTAGTATTTTCATTTGGCATTCAACCACCAACCAACACCGGTTCAACACTGGCTCTGGTCGATGACATCTGTGATCAGCCAAGAGAGAGAGAGAGAGAGTGGGTGCTGTTGGTGGATGATGTCCACCAGCAGGAGCTGTTTCATCAGCAGGTAAGATGGTAGACATGAACTGGTGAAGGTAATGATCTAAGGGGTAATGTTGATCATCTTACAAGAGGTATTCTGCCTGGGAACTACAGGAAACAAAGAAGCGTGGGGTCATGCAGAACCAATGGATAAATTACCTCTGCACGTGTCTGAGTGTGGAGGTCCCTGTACTAGACCACTCCACTGCATGTCACTACTTAAGATGTCTCAGCTTAGTGTTGGATGAGAGTCTATATGTGAGGAATTTATGCCAAAGTCACAGATAGCTATAAGTTAGACTAAACAAATAATGCTCCAAACATTTAAAAGTGCAGCTAAAGAGGATCTGGACCATTTCCCAGAGTATTTCAGTAAGGTCAGTGCCTGGAATGGCTGGGCTCAATGCCTGAACTTAAGTTTGGACAGCACAACCCTTCCTGCTACAAGAACTTTAGAAATTCACAATTACAAGACTGAAATACAGTTGGGCCCAAGTTGTTTCTACATTTTGACCCATTGAAAAATCAGGCAGTCCATTGGGTTTTGTTTAAGGCTCAAAAGAGGCAGTTTGTCACAGAACTTGGCTGCCTACACAAATGAATTCTACTAGTCTCATTGAAAGGCATACCACATTGACAGATCATGAAGATATTCTTATTGATGACTTCACTGAGAGACTCCTCAATGAATGGATGAGGCATCATCACTTTGGTGTGAGAGACATTCTCACCTTCATGGAGGAAAAAGTTGTGGCAATAAGGTGTGAATTCCCGACTTTGAATAGGTTGCAAGAGAGAAAAAGTTGGCAGCAGCAGTAGCTGCCATGGCTGTAACTTGGACTTGTCACCATATTCCAGTGAGTTCCTCACTTCAAGCTCGAGCTTTGCCTATGGAAAACCAGCAGGTGACATATCCTAGCACTATGACACAATACTACCGACTCCCATTTAATGGGTATGGCTTCTCTGGTCCACCCACAATGTTTGTTTCATAGCTGCTGACGATGATTTCTCCACCTAGACGTTGCTTTGGAAGTGAGGATGAAAGCACCTGCTTTTGACAGCAGGATCATTCAGAGTGAACTGTCTTCATCTTTTCACGCATGAAAGATAAGTGAGGCTACCAGTTTTGACCAACTGGAGGAGAATTAGCAGTGAGAAGTAGCTATTACTGCTCTGGAAAACTAATAGAGTCTGAGCTGGAGACTGGCCACCAATGTAGAAGAGTGCAGCAGACAGCTTTTGCCAGAAGGTTTGGTGGTCACTTCACCTTCTGAAGATAAAAGGATAAGAGATAGAGTTCTTTATTGATAAAGAAGCTACAAGGAAATTATTTGATTTTGCAATATATCAAGCACTCTTAGTGAAAAAACCACTATGGCCAGTTAATACCGAATTGCGACAGATTATACATATATTCAGAGGCACATCTCTACCTATGTCTAGATAATGTCATCCACAGAAGAAATGTAGTCATATTCATCATTGCATCTGACATTGGTATCCTATTGTTGTACATAATGTAGAAATTATTGTTCAATTTTGCTTGTGCTACAGGTGAGCTGCATTTCTGGTGGAGGAAATACCGGTTGCTGATCAGACCAAACCTAAGAACAGTGGACTACGCAAGTATATGTTACAGAGGAACTCACGGTACTTAAATGTACACAAATGGTGTTCTATGGTTTACTATGGATGAGGTGTAGTGCATTGATGCCATGTAAGGCAGTGATAAAACAATTCACGAGATTCATTTCCTGTCCAGAAAGCAGGAGGAATAAAACCTTGATAATATTCTTAAAGCAAGTTTTGTTTGCTGACATATCTAAGCACTCTTGTTACAACACAGTAACAGAAACTTAGTGCCCTATTGGCTGAATATGCCAATGTATTTGTGGCTGATTTGGTCAAACAGAAAAAATACTTGCCATCACATATGTGATGAATGTTTGATTAAATAACTGCCATACAGGCCAGGCTTTCATGGAGCACCTGGGATGCATCCAACATCAAAGTATTGTGCATACTTAATAAACGAATCGTAGAGCATTTAGAAATTGCATTGCATTTTCCAACACTGATTATGCAGAAGGAGGTGATGCCAAAATAATGTGTTGATTTCAGACAGGTTATCAAGTTGATTCCTTTCCATTCCCATGGGCAAATGAATTTGTGGATACATTGGAAAGAGTCCAAAAGTTGAACGCTTTAGCTGTGGCATGCTGGCAAACCAAACTGAATGATGAGAGCAGAGCTAAGATTGCTTTCAGCTCTCAAGATGGTTTGTACAGGTATTGCATCATTCCTTCTGACCTATTGAATGTACGTGCCGCTTTTTAGAGGCTAATGGAGCTCTCACCAAAGGGGATGCACTGTGAAAGAAATGTGGTCTATGTTGATGGTGTTTTGGTGTTTGGCTGCATGGTTGGATTGGAGAATGGTACTTCAACAGATAATAGCAGCAGCTTTGAAGTTGGAACCAGAAAAGTGTGTTATAATAGAATTCGTCAGTAAAACTAGGGAAGAGAGGGAGTATCTACTGACTCTACCAATACCCCAGTGGAACTGGGCTAGCCTCAACCCAGGACCAAATAAGAAGTTTGCAGTTTCTTTGGTTTTGCATCGGATTAAAGATAATTTGTTTCCAACTTCTGCAAGATTGCCACACCACTATCTGCTCTCACTAAAGCCAATAATATATATTTTAGATGGATCAAGAAGTATGGGCAAGCATTACTGTCTCTAAAGTATGCTTTCGTAAAAGATTCACTGCTGGTATATTCACAACAGGGCGGTTAATGCTTGTTGGATACTGACGCCAGCAAGACTGAAACAGGAGCAGTATTATTACAGGTGCAGATGGAGTGGAATGCATGCTAGTTTTATGTTTGTAGCTCCTGAATGCCAATACTGCATGATGAAAAAGAACCTTGATCTTTGTTAAACGCTATCAACACTACCTGTATGTTAGAACTTTCGTCTGTTAGGTGGACCACGCATCACTTGAATAGCTTATAAATTATAAAAATTTGGAGGGAGTGACTCTGTATGATTTTGTACAGCATTGTTCAGATCTACAACACGCAAACGCCAGTGGATTGTCTTAATGCATGGTGAAACCGGGTCTGTTTGTTGAATGTCCTTACCCTGGACACCTTGTGAGCTCAAACTATTTCAGGCGTTTCAGCAAGAATAGCACAGGTAAATTAATGATTTACACAGATGATACTGAATGATTCTCTGGTAATACACACACCATAAAAACTAATGCTTTTTTACACTGAATGACTTCATACAAAGCACAGTAGTTTTAATTAACAAAACATTCGTACAGTTCGGCTCACATATCTTTAAAAAACACGTTGCATACTGGTGGATGTTTCAGTCCATGGGCAGCTGATTTAGTTCTTGTTGAACTTGTATCTCAATACATTACCTACATTCTCATTAAAGAGTTATCATAAAGCCTTAGAAATTAACAGGGTATGCAGATACACTGACAGCATAGCAGAACCAACAATTAGGACATTCAGTTACTGCAAGATTATCGACTCAAAGGACGTGGCATTCCTTGCTTTCTGAGCTATTTCACGTTGAAATGTACGTTTGATCTACATTTTGTAATTGTCACAAAGTTAGGATAGTTTATTGATTCCAAGATTAACGTGATTCTTATTTTCCGAGCTACTGAGTAGAGTTTAATGGACAGATATCCATATAATATCTGGTGATAGCTGCTCAATTATCATACAGTTATGTCGGTTTTTATCAGTAGATATCATGCCTCGCAAATAATTAGTTTGTATGATTGTTAGGAGTAAAAAATCAACTTGATTGAAAGGGTATTGCAACCCTTACTTTCCGAGTTATTGAGTGATTTTCTCAAGTAAAATGTTGTTCAAATTTTTTGCGAGAATTACTCTAGTCGAGTAGTAGCGAAACTTCTGTAGGGCAGACCTCCCGAAACTTACTGGATTCATTTACAGTATATTTGAATTATATATGTAGCTCATGTGCAGTGAGGGATTTGTTATGTAGCTCATGTGCAGTGAGGGATTTGTATTCTTTGTCTTACTTAATTTGCCTGTCTTTACCTTTCTGTGAATCCAACTGAGATGAATGGATCTTGCTAGTTTGACTACTGGTATTGGCAGTTGTAAAGGCAGTAAAAGTATTTTAATGCAGATAACTACATTATTCTAGGTGGTCTGAGAGTGTAATGATAAATACGGTAACACGAATACTAGCCTAAATCATTTAGGTTAGAAATTTTAGTTTGACTGAATTCTGTCACTGAGTGTTTATGTTATGATGCCGAGACAACTTTTTGAGTTTAATGGCTCACAAATAACAACACGTTACATCACTACAGCTATCGAGACATAGTTAGCAGAGGTACCTGTGTTAGTTACCATAGTAACAGCCCAGGAGCCGGAGGCAGTCTGTCTACATCTACTAGAGTAAGCGACAATGTGTAATATTGATATATATTTATATGTATGACAATATCTGTGTATAAATAAATATATCTAGATGGTGTTGCCAAGGCGTATGAACGATATATATATATATATATATATGTAAAGTGTTGTATAATACAAAAGAATCAATTATACAATTTTGCTATCAAGCAAAATCTAAACTAAAACAACGAATTTGTTTTAAATGTTAAGCTTTTGAGAACGAAATACAGTGTGATTACTGACTTGTAAACCATTATTTGAAGAAACAGTGCACTGGATATTTTCATTAATGCTGGTGAGAAGATGTACAAATTTCGACATTGAACCTAAAGCATTCCCTTGAGAGTAAGGGGTAAGCCCATGATACGCTTGTAAGAAAACCCACTCTTTTCGATAATATTTCAATTGGATCGAATCGAGATATTTGTGAATTGGTGAGATCCGCAAAATGTAGCTTAAATGTAAGCGTGGTGCATCCAGTGTTTTACTTATTTATGACTGGATATTTTCAATCATGTAGAATGAAGTATTTTGAAAAAACACACAGTTTTGCCGAATATGTACTTAACATTATTTCAGTGCAAGGTGCAGTTTGAATGCACGAAAGTAAAGCTGTAAGTCCACAGATGGAGAAAGAAGTAAAACACGTATGGTAGTGATTCATAGTTGTCTTCAACTGTGCTAAACTTGTGTCTGAGAGTAGTGATTCATAGTTGGCTTCAACTGTGCTAAACTTGTGTCTGACACTGATAGGAAATGATTCATCAGACTGTCAGTGGTAATAATTTCGGATGATCTTGTAACATGGCTGGTCTATTTTGGTTATCTGTGTGGCAACTAGAGTTTGAAGACTCACCCCAATTTTTTACTACTAAATCAAACTCTGTTTGCATATCAACCAGATAGCAGTGAATGGGATGTGGCTGGTGTTGCAGAGACGATATATAAAGTGTTGTATAACACAAAATCTGAATTAAAACATACTTTTAACCTTTTAAGTCTTAAGACTTACCGCTGAACCAATTGGGTGAAAAAGATTTTGAGAGTTGAGAGTAAGTTACACTGATTTCGTTACCGATACGTGAGTTGTTTCAACGTGTTCCTAATTTTAAAGTTAGGGATGACCAGATTGGTGTGAAAGTAAAGGAGATAGGAAAGGTGTGGTATGTAAGAAAACTACGTGTGTACTAGCCCTTAGTTAATATAGAAGTTTATATATATATAACTCATTAGGTGGTTCTTGTTCATAAGTTAAAAGCTTTATTTCACACCCCATATTAATAAATAATACGATGTAATATAAAAGTTTTGGTTGTTACCAATGTGATGCTCTTCCTTTGAGAAATTAACAAGAGCTTGTTGTTTCATTGAGGCATTTTATTTTGCTTTGACAAGCTGCAAGTAGACGAAAGCCCGAACATTATTTGAACCATACTTGATTTCATTAAAGATAAATAGTACTTATTGTCTATACATATAATTGTGTGTGTGTCTGGGTGCTTTCTATGAAAAATACATGTTTCCCGGAATAAGTATTTTTAACAGTAAATAGCTAGGGTGAAAGAATGGTTCTATATACTTTGAAAATAATAAGATTTACTTGTGAACAAAGGGACTCCAGTTCGAGCTTTTTCATAGGCGGGATATCATAAGATCTGACCGTTTGATCAGTGGCTAACCAGCTGTAATCAACTGATTTCTGGTCACTATTCCTCTCTTTCCTTTCTTCTTCAAGATGTTGTTTGATCATCGTCTCCACCTGTAGTTACATAATATATTAATAAAAATCAATTATATATATATAACAGTGGCAAAAATAGTGCATTTCTGTAAAACTATTATTACTATTCTTATGAACTTTCCAAAAAAATTACACAAAAGTTGTCCTTCATATTGAAAATATGTTTATGGACACACCCTATTTTTTAACACATATTAATATGAATGGAATTTACATGTATTAGTGTGAAAAGTATAGAATGGACCAAACACTGTGTTGAAATAGAACAAGTTTGAATAACTGTAGCAACATAACGTGGCATCAATTGCAAAAAATGAAAAGGGACATCCCATGGGATTTCTTACCATTCCTTGGCCTATTGCGGCGTGTAGTTGGCTGAAATATGAAAGCATATGTGGTCTGCTCCTAATGTGATGTTCTAACGTTTCACAAAGATGCTCAATTTCGTTGATATCAGAAGATTGTGGTGGTCGGAATCCATGTTCTGTTCCCCATAATCAGTCTTGAAATTTACAGCTTCGATTAATGGGGGAATTTCACCCTGAAACACATCACCACCATTTGGATGGAAGCACAGCATCATAGGGTGCACCTAGTCAACCCTCGTCCATAAATACTCTCCAGTTGTCATCTGGCCTTCCTCTGATAAAGTAGGTCCAAACCATGCCTATTAAGTATATTATTACTCCATGTCCAGTAGCCTGAATGATTAGCAAGATACATTTAGAGGCCAATGCTGAATCAGTATTCTATGCATATCTAACCTCCCATTCTGTTTGTTCAGAATCCAGTCCCCTTTCACATCACCATTGCAAGCGGCACGTCCTTTTGGTAGGGGTGTGTGAATGCCTTACAAAGAGATGCTTTGCCACTGAAAGAGTGTAGTTCTTAGCTTGTATCCTGTCCACACTCGAATGTTTCAGTGAAATGGCTGACTGTTACTTACTTAGCGCTCCCGACATTGCTTCCAATGCACCTGCATTTCTATTTGGTGGTGATCCAATTCTTCTCAGAGTTCTTCCTCAATTCTCCATCGATTTACATTCCAGGTAGGATTTGAAGTTTTTCTTGCCAAATGCATTCGTTAGTTTTGTCCTGCACGTACATCTATCAGCCTGTCTGTTGTAAAGTCGTTTAGAACCTTCTGCTTCACCATGTTATAAAGTTAATAGAATCTACCAGTGAATATTATGTTTGTGTACATTTGCTGGTCAAGAAGAACACCACATAATCCAGCATGGGGAAAAGAATGCAATCGACGGCCTGTATGAGTAATACGACAATTAATTTGGTATTTTTAACTTGCAACTAAACACCCAGGCTAAAGACTCCAAAGTTCAGGAATAACTTGCAACTAAACACCCAGGCTAAAGACTCCAAAGTTCAGGAATATCTGTCTCTAATTTTGAACTGTTGACCAAAATAAGAACAAGCAAACAATGTCAAACACCTACACAGCTACTCTTTTTAAATAGAGAAAGTGACTGTCACTTTTATGACGTACCTTTTAAAAATGCAGAGCGTCTTCACTGCCATATTTTTAGCTCGAACCTAGGGCCTTCGATTGTGCAGGCTGGTATCTAACCATTATGGCACGCTCGACCCACAATTAGTGTGAAAAGCGGCAATAGTTAAAACTTATAGTTTCCGCTTATTAAAAAGTTTATATGAAACAATATTCATGAAAGTGTTACAATATTTTCACAACATATATCGAACGTACAAAAATGGACTTTCGAGGGTTTTCTGCGGTAAAAGACTAATAAATTTGTTACCGAAGCAATAACAGCAGAAATTCAAGGTATCTCATCAACTCTCACCTCTCACTAGTAGTATATGGGTAACATGCTGAGTAAATACAGCTTCAGATATAATTATCAGTTATAATTAAACATAAATAAGATAAAGTGTAGACTATAACAATTTAACTTAAACACTTTCTGAAACCAAAGTATAATGGCAGATGTTCACTTTAGAGTAGTAGAAACATCAAATTGCTAATCACCAGGTGTCTGAAACACAGTGGAACAAATGTCAACTTACTAATCACTAGGTGTCTGAAATATAGTGGAACAAACACGTATAAGGTATAATATATATATTTCAGACAGAAGCGTTGCTAGGTGCTTAAAAGATTCGGGGCTCGGGCCCATAGGCGTGTGAGTTTTCGCTGTTTCTGTATAACATCATCCGTGGTTTTCTATTCAGATTTTTCAAGACACCAACTGGGGATTCGGGGCACTGTCAACTAGAATCAGGGCACGGGCCCCTTGTGCCAGTGCCTATCGACGCATCTGATTTCAGAAAACAACAACAATGACAACTACGAGTGGACAAACTTCACAGCTGCCTCTATACTTTTGGGAAAATGGTTTCTGATAGTTGTACAAAAATTTTTAGACAAAAATAAAATATGTGTGCATTATCGTTTTTATTACAATTATATTGTCTCCAGGCATTGCTCAAAATTCATCAAATTCAAAGTTTAAAATGTAAGATAGCTACACAAATATCCTTCTATGGCTCATCGGTAAACTTTGGAGGGATTTTAACGTCAAAATTCGGAGTTGAATCCCTGTAGGGGACACAGTACAGATAGCATATTGTACACTTTGGGCTAAACACTAAAAAAATCATGGTTACTTTTACTTTGTCACGTGAGTTATATGAAGGATATCGTTCTAGGTTTACCTCTGTTCATCACGGCTACTTACACTTGTTCATGTAAATAATATGAAGGATGTCATTCTAGACTTGCCTTTGTTCATCACGGTCCGCTTTGTTTTTATTATTTTTTTCCATTGTATACTTACCTGTGTTCATCATAACTACCTACACTTGTTCATGCAAGTATTGTGAAGGATGTCATTGTAGACTTACCTCTTTTCATCACGGCTACTTACACTTGTTCATGTAAATAATATGAAGGATGTCATCGTAGACTTGCCTTTGTTCATCACGGCTACTTACACTTGTTCATGTAAATAGTAGGAAGGATGTCATTGTATACTTACCTCTTTTCATCACGGCTACTTACACTTGTTCATGTAAATAATGTGAAGGATGTCATTCTAGACTTACCTGTGTTCATCATAACTACCTACACTTGTTCATGCAAGTATTGTGAAGGATGTCATTCTAGACTTACCTGTGTTCATCATAACTACCTACACTTGTTCATGCAAGTATTGTGAAGGATGCCGTTCTAGGCTTACCCTTGTTCATCACGGCTTCTTACGTTTGTTCATGAAATGCTGTGAAGGATGTCGTTTTAGGCTTACCTCTGTTAGTAAAGATTCAGTCACCAGTTCAGATTCTGACTTGCCAGTTGGCCTGAATCCACTCCCTCGGCGCTTTAGAGAGGACACTGCTTCCCACATGATAACAATCAAAGTCGTTCTGGAATATTTTACTTGTGTTAAGTATCAACCAAAACAAAAATGATTACTTCCATACACGCTAAAAAATATGAAACATTAACTAGATTTTTCTCAATAATTTAGATGAGCATGGTGATACATTCTTGAATATAATGTTACACCAAAACCATTAAGGATCTAATTAGCAAAATATATAATTCCCATGTGTGCGTGTGTTTTTACTTTAAAGCAAATGCTACAATCAGGTAAAACGTCTTTATCTGTTTAGTCTATGAAGCGGTTCGTTATATTTAGCTTTAAAAGTGAAAGGCAACGTCTTTACTGCAAACTACTGGGCCAAATAATCTCACGTTTTGAAACAACTCACTCGAGCGATAAAGCAGTAAGCTTGTTTTCTTTTTGGATTCAGGAAAGACGTCATCATCGATCATAGACTAAATATACAGTTTCTTGATCATCGATCGAATCGTTATTCCACTAAAAGTCATTATTCTAGTGATGAGACATCTGAAAGGGTGACATATTGTTTTTACTATTCAAATGGCGTCATCTAAGTCGATGAAGAGTCTAATATCATAGAGTTGAAACTGTATCAAGTACAATATACTGACCAATTGTAAACGCCACCAATCCGATGGCGTTACTTATTTTCAATATCAGTTCAAAACCAAACGGTAGATATATATATATATATATATATATATACACACATTTATATACTTAGTCGATTTTAATTTAAACTTTATATTTAATATTGACCTATTTAAACTTATTATTAACAGCAAATATATGAAAACTAGTTTGATTTATATAGAAAGAAAATTGTAGCACATTGTAATTGGTTATGCTGTAAGAAATTGTGAGTGTTTTCGTTACCAGTAAATAGCTGCATGAGGAATCATCACGACTACATTATACACGCCATAACTGTTATGTTGTAAGAGAAGATGAGTGTTTTCCTGACCAGTGATGGCTGCATGAGGAATCATCACGACTACATTATACACGCCATAACTGTTATATTATAAGAGAAGATGAGTGTTTTCCTGACCAGTGATGGCTGCATGAGGAATCATTACGACTACATTATACACGCCATAACTGTTATATTGTAAGAGATGATGAGTGTTTTCCTGACCAGTGATAGCTGCATGAGGAATCATTACGACTACATTATACACGCCATAACTGTTATATTGTAAGAGATGATGAGTGTTTTCCTTATAAGATGTGTGAAAAATCAGCATGACAACGTTGTATTCCAGAGTAACAAAGAAAGCAGTAAAGTAAATAAGTAAATCCTTGCTTAAAAGACGTTACAACAGGTACAAAATCGTGAGTAATTTTGTCTATCTACTAGTCTTTACATTTAACTGTATGTAAACAAACATAAATACCCATACACATAGATATATATTATCTCTATCGTAATATTTTTCCTCTTCTATCTATCTCAAAGTTTAAGCACCCATAAAGGTTCTATTCACTTCTAAGTGCGATTGTTATTCACTTCCTTCCGTGCAAATGACTGAACCGACAGACACTTCGTGTTTGGAAATTGATGGCTTTAATGTTAACTTAGTAATTTATCTTATCTTATTAAAACTCCATATACATTAAATAAAATGAACCATTCTTATTAATAATATAGGTATCATTATTCTGTTACTTTCTTGCTTGGCTGGCCACTTCGATTTTCAAGTAATGATCAAAGACTTTATTGTAAAACTTTTGCTGTTGGTGTTCTAACTAATAGCGTAACTTATATAATATTTGCATTCTTTATCACAGAAGGGAAGGCTTAAGTGACTACTCCTTTTAGGCCTTACCTTAGTTAGTATAAAAAAGATTATTAGAGATGTTATGAAGGCCCTAACTGCATTGTTTTAGAATCTGTCAGCCCTGTAATGCTGCATTGTTTTCGAGTCTGTCAGCCCTGTAATGCTGCATTGTTTTAGAATCTGTCAGCCCTGTAATGTTGCATTGTTTTAGAATCTGTCAGCCCCGTAATATATTTATATTATGAACATTTCATTATTCGTCTTTATTTTTGAGAACGCTATATTTAGATAAATAACTATGTTTGCATGAAAACCGTATTCGTTAAATTTAAGCTACATACAAGTGACTGTTTTCCTTGATCTGCGCTAAAACCTGTAAATATTCTTAAAACATGCTATAGATAGTTTCTATAAACCCTTACTTTTTAGTTATCAACTTCTTTCAAGATTCTTACCTAAATCTTCCAACTTCACGAATACATGTATTCTATACGTCTTTCCGTTTAGCTGCAAAAGAAACGCCTCTTCTTTGGCAACTCACAGTCGTATATGATGTCTCAACTTCACTTTCCCGCTACTGTCCAACAATCATGAATAAATAAACATTACAAAATTACCTTCCTTTGCATCGATCACTTACGTGTTCATCAAGTAAGTCTGAGAATAAGAAATGCAATGTTCGTGACTGTATTCTACCAGCTATTGATTTAAGATAACGGAAGCAAAGCGACTTATACGCTGGTGGAAAAAAACAACTGTCATGCATACGCATGCGTATAAAAAGTAAAAGGGGAAGGCATAGGGAATAAGCTATTAGGTAAAAGTAGCTCGTTGCACGTGAAGAACAAATTTGCTGTTTTAATTCCCTGGTTGTCATGGCAACCATTAAAAAAAACGAGATCAGCTCTACAGGTGGGTGTTTATCAACATCGCAGGTGCTTAATACAGTTTTGAGTGCTTATTGAAATATAGAGTAGGCAACATAAGCAGAGGAAACCGAACTATAGCATTGTGTTCTTAAAGAAACACGAGTTAGACAAGATGTTGGGTCGCTTAGATACAGCATTGTGTTCTTAAAGAAACACGAGTTAGACAAGATGTTGGGTCGCTTAGATACAGCATTGTGTTCTTAAAGAAACACGAGTTAGACAAGAAGTTGGGTCGCTTAGATACAGCATTGTGTTCTTAATGAAACACGAATTAGAGAATATAAGAAATGGAAACTAAGATAAAACAATGTGTTATTGACGAAACGTAAATAATGAAATAAAAGAAAGGAAAATTGAGACACAACACTGTGTTTTTGATAAGGTTGCATTCGGTAGTACAAGGAAGAGACACTGAGATAGAGTACTGTGTTCTTAATGAAATGCGAATTAGGAAATACAAGGAAAAGACAGCGAGATACAGCACTCTCTTATTAATTAAATACTGATTAGGAAATATAAGGACAGGAACTTAGAAAAAATGGTGTGTTATTAAAAGCACGGATTAGGTAATACAAAAAAAGGAAAATTGAGTAGAGAGCTGTATTAGACAGATTAGACGGTACAAGGATGAGAATCTGAAACTAAAAGGAAGGAAGTCTGAAATACATCATAGTGTTTTAAATGAAAACGAATTCGAAAATGCAAATAAGGGACACTGAGATACAGAACTGTGTTATTAATGAAAATGGATTAGATAATACAAGAAAGGGAAACTGAGATACAACACTCTGTCCTCAATAAAATATGGATTAAGGAATACAAAGCAGGGACAATGAGGTACACCTCTGTGTTCTTAATGACACAAGTATTAAGAAATACAAGGGGCCACTGATATTAACAACTAATCATAATAATAAAAGAAACATAATATCGTGTGTAGCTGCTAGTGAAAAAACACAGTAAATGGAACAAAGTGTTAAAAGTTCCAGGGTCGTGGCGGCATTGTTGACCAGTTTTCTTGCCAGAAGTTAACATTAGATTGAATATGTCGAAACTAGTTTCTCTAATATCAAGATTTCTAACTGTTTCTTCCATTTACCTTGATTTTTCCCTAATGAAAATACAAGTTAAACAACAAAAGATAGGGTCGCTTAGATACAGCATTGTGTTCTGAATGAAAAATGAAATTAGACAGTACAAGAAAGGGACACTAAGATACAGCGCTGAATTATTGATAAATACAGAAGAGGGAATACAAGGAAAGGAAACTAAGATATAATACTGTGTTCTTAATGAAACACGAATTAAATAATACAAGAAATGGAAACTGAGATAAAACACAAGGATTAAGAATCAGAAGGATGGGACACTGATATACAGCATTGTGAGCTTAATTGAACAAGGATTAGGCAGAACAAAAAAGGGAATCTGAGATACAGCAATGTGTCCTTAATGAAATACTGATTGGAAATTACAAGGAGATGAACTAAGATAAAACAATGTGTTCTTAAAAGCACAGATTATGTATTACAAACAAGTGCAATATATAACCAGGCTCCTCAGTCTTGTTTTTATTATCTTTAACTTCAAGAAATATCTTTCCCAGTGCAGTTGAGTGACGAAAAGTGTGAGAAGAGAGTGGTACACTTTATGTAAGTTGTCATATGCTTAGGCAATACAAGGAATGGAACTGAGATACAGTACTGAGTTATTAAAGAATCAATGATTATACAATATAAGAAAGGAACACTGAATTAGTGCACTTTGTTGTTAATGAAACTCTGTTTAGGTAATACAAGGAAGGGACACAGAGATACAGTACTGTGTATTCCTAGAGAAACATGGATTAAACAACACCAGGTAGGGACACTTAGATACAGCACTGTGTATTCCTAGAGAAAGATGGATTAAACAACACCAGGTAGGGACACGTAGATACAGCACTGTGTATTCCTAAAGAAAGATGGATTAAACAACACCAGGTAGGGACACTTAGATACAGCACTGTGTATTCCTAAAGAAAGATGGATTAAACAACACCAGGTAGGGACACTTAGATACAGCACTGTGTATTCCTAAAGAAAGATGGATTAAACAACACCAGGTAGGGACACTTAGATACAGCACTGTGTATTCCTAAAGAAACATGGATTAAACAACACCAGGTAGGGACACTTAGATACAGCACTGTTTTCTTAATTAATGAAAAGCGAATTAGGTAGTACAAGAAAGGGACACTGAGTTCTTGGTACAGAGAGATGAGGGAATACAAGAAAGAGACATTGAGATACAGTACCGTGTTCTTAATGAAACCTGGATTAGATACAGGAAATCATTGGCGGACTGGGTCCCCTTTGGGAGCACTAGTAAAGGCTTATTAAGGGCACTCCATTGGTGACCTAATAATTTGTGAGAAGTATATCAAATTACACTCCATGTTTTACATACATATTATCAGACTATGAGTGAGGAATCCATAACTTGCAAAGAAGAAGAAATAAAACTCTTTTACGTTTATTTTAAAGACAGCTTTTTAGGTTTAATTTTATAAAGTACACACTTATGGTATTAGCGTGTTCAGTGGTATACGAAATTCACGTGTAAAAGTATAGTTCTTCACATTAGTGTACATGAAAATGAAAATACACGTATACTTTATTTATTAGTATGTTCCCGTTTTATATGATGGTGGGTAAAACAAAATACACGTTCTAGCTAACTAAATGAATGAATTCGATGATGACAAAACCTTGTCGAAACGTTGTACATTTGCTGTCATGTTAAACTTATATTAAAGTTTTTCTTCATTACCCATTTAAGCCGTCTCCAGCCATTATAAATGAATGAATATTTGCTGCAAAATTATCATCAGTGCTATAAGTGTAGCTACCAGTTTGGCCACCAATTTTGATCTCATTCCTTTAAGTCGCACGCTCAGTCTTTTTTTGGCCACACCTTTTTTTCACATCTAAGATGTTTTTGATTAAATATCATGTGTTTTTCTCAATACACACCAACTAACCCCAGCAAGTAAGAAAGCGACACTTGATAGTAACCAACATTAGTTTTAGGATCGCAACCCTATTACTCAGAACAGACCCATAATTTACAGAACCAACCAGATTCTTTAAGATATATGGTGGTAGGTTTCCCTCTCTAATACAGTGTTAATAACTTCCTTTATAGTAACACCATGGAAACTAAATTAACAGTTTCTTGTCATCACCCCCCCCCCCATGAAATCGGTACATCCATATCAAGCATCATTATTTGTGCTAATTGCTTAAGCTAATATCACTTAACGCTAAACGCTCATTAATTAGGGAAACTTCATAAAAGTTATCAAATTTGTACTTAAAAGTTGGCAATGAATAATAACCGTCCACTTGTATGATTCTTTTGAAAACTTGAGCTAGAAACTGCTAATCTAGTTTGCTTGGCCTAACCAATACTTATGTATCTGCACTTGCTTTCACCCTATAGTTTTGCAGCAGTATTTAAGTTGAATGACAAAAACAACAACAAAATAACTGAAAACGGTCTACCTTTTCTCTTAGATGAAGCTGTAGTAAAAATGGCAGAACGATAGCTCACGTGAATGTTTGCGTAGGCGTGCGCAAACATTTTGGTCAAAATTGAGCGATTTTTGTTGAATAACTTTGCACATGCTACTTATTTTTAAACCAAATTTGATACCTAATTGTAGATTGTAAAGATCTATCGGTGTACCAAATTTCAAAAACATCCATGAAGGTTATATATATGTTTTTCTATCAAATAGCATTTTCATACTTTCGGTGCGAGGCCCAGCATGGCCAGGTGGTTAGGGCGCTCGACTCGCAATCTGAGGGTCGCGATTCGAATCCCCTTCCCACCAAACATGTTCGCCCTTTCAGTCGTGGTGGCATTATAATGTGGCTGTCAATTCCACTATTCGTTGGTAAAATAGTAGCCCAGGAATTGGCAGTGAGTGGTGATGACTAGCCGCCTTCCCTCTAGTCTTACACTGCTACATTAGGGATGGTTAGCGCAGATAGCCCTCGTGTAGCTTTGCACGAAATTCAAAATAAACCAAACTAATCCTTTTGGTGCGAATAAAAAAAGAAAGAAATTCAATCAAAGTTGGAGATTTTATATCTCGTGTATATCTTAATGGATTGCTTTGAAATTTGGTATGTGAAATAAGAGTCCAGTAGAGCTGTGATAATCAATAGTGTAACGAAGTTTTGTACATATGTTTGGCTTGTTTTGAATGTATTATTTTAAAACAAGTGGATTACCTGCTCTGCGTTTATTGTGGAAATTTAACGCCAAACAAGTCACAGACACCTACTGTAAAGAATACGGCTCTTTAAAAACCTGACATAATTCAAATCAATGTAGGGTTGAAGCAGCTAATATAGGACATTTACTAATGGTTGTAATAACTTTCAAACAAGGAGCAAAAGACATTTAAGTAAAGTACATGTTGTTCTACATACCCTCTATTGATCTCACTGAATGTCTGTAGGTATTTTTGCTGCTTGCCAAACGCTTTACATGTAGTATTCTGGAATTGCATCAGTTGTTTCCTGAATGCAACTTTGTGTCAGGCAAATCCCATTGAATTTGAGTTGTATATCGCACACTTTAGATATCACAACAGCCAAAACTCCATTAAATTTGGAGAGCATACTGATCAACGCAACTATCCCATACAGCCAGACCAAAATTTCAGTAGAACATTGCCCAGTGACTCATAAAAACAAAATGAAAAATCAAATGATGCACCT